AACAGCTGTTCAGTAAAGAGAAAACAAAGGAACCAATTGATTGAAAATAAAACTAAGTTTTATATTTTCTTCTTTTTGTTTTTGTCCTTCCGGGGAATCTGTTCGAACGAAATGAGTGACGCGTACAATTTCAAGATAGAAATATAACATTTATTTGAAAAAAAACAACGATATTCTAAACGAAAAAAAAACCGCTAGAAACAATAAGATTTACACTTATCAAATCGTGACGTATCTGAGAATCTACCAATTCTTCAGGATATAATCAACAAAAGTGTGAGTCGATAAATTGGGTAACAGCATGAAGTTTCGTCATATATGGAAGTTGTTTTGAATAAACAAGATTTCAGTGAACAACATATGTGATGATCAGAAGCTAGTCGAAACTAATGATGAAGGACCATGATCATAATAATAAAATGAACCAAGCATCAGTAAGGCACTTTCTATTAGAGAGATGGGCTATTAAATAGTAGTAAGTAGTATATAAGCATATACACAAAAAAAGAGGAATTAGAAAGAAATGACAATTAACATCTACTTTTTTCCTAAGATAGTTCTTACTGATGAGGACAGATAAGATCAGTGGGTTTATCTGATTTCTACTGAAACGGTAGATTATGGAAGAATTACCCCCATCATTCTCAGGGAATAATGAAGAACGATGGCAACCCAAACGTAGACTAGCCAAAGTTTAGGAAGCAATCTTGAATAGTGATGGGAGCGAAAGCAAAATGGTAGACATGATGGACAAAACTAGATAACTCTACTGACTGATCAGGAAAGTGAGCATTAAAATTTATGCTGTTTATGAGGCCATCTTGGAAAAAGACGGGATCACTGTTCATTCCAGATCCAGGAGATTAGACCAATGGGTAGAAATTAGGGGGTAATTCGACTGGTCGCTGGTTACCCTCCAGTTACTTACTATCTGCAAACAATTCGGATGGGGAATTGAAAGAAGTTCTCTAACTCTAAGTGAGGTTGGAAAGGACTTATTTAATTTAAAAAGGAGATCAGAGAGATCTTATAGACTATCCTTAGAGGTCTTTAAGGGTAGTAATCCAGTTTTAGCGGCCATGCTGACTAGAACACTAGTTAGATTTTGGGAGGTGTATATGATTGAAGTCCCTTTACCCGAGAATTGATATTTGGATCAGAGTTTGTGATGAACTACAACAAAAACTTTAAACTTCAAGTACCGTTTGTCAGTGTTGCCCGTTTAATCATTGATGTCCTTCTACAAATAAAAATTTCGTCTTGTTTTCTTAGGAACTGATCTTCCACCAAAAATTTCGGTTATCAACTTAGAATTTGAAGATAGGAAAGTTCTGTTGGTTGAAGGTCTTGGACAAATTCAGAATTTTCTTATGACCTTGAGCAATGAAGTAATCATGTTTGGGTTGCGTCTACCTCCCAGTAAACGGAAAATGTTTTTTCAGAATTGGTCTACATCAGTCAGTTTATCGACCACGTCACTTATCTTAGAAGTTGTCTGGCTAGATTTCGACAAGGTTTCAGAAAGCTCTGTTGGTATTTGCAAACTTATCACTTGTGACGTAGACGAAATGTGTGTCTGCGAGCCCAAACGAGTGTATACTGTGCAGCAGTCTGCTCTGTATTAATTTATCGTTGTGAAACATGATCCTTCAAATTGGTAGGCATGCTTAAGCTGGAGGTTTTTTGTTAGGGATTTCCTCGAATTATCGTGGTATGACCAAGTAAGGCTGAAAATACGGTACTTGGCAAAAGTGACAAATTGATCAATCGGGTTGTCAATCATCATCAACGGAAAGGACTGGAACATGTGTTGCGTATGACTAACTACTACATAACTCAACAAGCTATGATTGCTGGTATCAAAGTAGGCTGAATAAAGCTGGTAGCTGCCAAATTAAAATGTGGCATTAGTCTATGAAGTTATACCCATTCTGAGTTACAGATTTTCACCATCATATTAAAGTTACTAACTGTTAGTCTGGGACACTTCGGTAGGACCTGGCTATCAAGTTGGGATGCACTGGACAGTAGTAATCAGCATACCTAGACTTTGAGTGAAGTAGTTCAGAATCATCTAGGCTGGCGATGATACATTCATTCCTTATATTATTACGGATCTTGAATTCCAGTATTGCTAAACGCACAATATTCCTATTGTTTAGTCTCTTTTAATATCGTTTCTACTATACTGCTCTGAAATGTTTTGATATTCATCTATCTATCTATCTATCTATCTATCTGATTTCTGACATATAAGTGACGTATTTCTAAGTTTCTTCTTGACATTCTCGTTAAGTTTATTTTTCTCTAGTTTTATATAAATAAAACTTTTCATTGTGTTATATCGTCTTTGTAATTAATTTCTATACACCCATTTGTTTTTTATTGAAATTATTATTAATATCTCTTTTGATATAGTTCATTTGAATCAAAGAAATGAACATAGACGATAGTGTATATTTGTCTACATGAATATAATTTTCCTCAGTACGAGAAAATCATAATCAATATAGATCGATATCATTAATCTATAATTAGATTTCCAGAATTACAAACGAGGAACAGATTTAGATAAATAATAACATATTTTAAAATATTTCTTCCTATCATCAGTCTTCTATGCTAATTAATTACTTACTCAATTTATATTTTGAAATCTGATTAGATCTTCTGAAGAAAAGTTCTGTATAGTTTAATGAAATCTTGTTATTAAGGTAAAGAAATGTTTTAAACATTTGTATTCATAGTTCAACAGAAAGTGTATTTTTTTGCATTTAACATGTTCAGCTTGCTCCAATATTTGAGCTACCTGTTTCTGCCATCTGAATATTTCAACAAGTTATTTCTTTTCTTGTTTGTTTTAACACATTATTATGTCTACTAATCGTATAACCTATTCAGGTGTGTTCATGAAAAGTCTACGACATTTAGTTGTACAACTTACAAAACGATTATAATCAGAGACATCGTGATAGTTGAAAATATGTAATGAAAAGGATGAACATTACTCAGATGTTGATTCCTTAACTGTTAACATCTAACTGATGGTTACCTAATACTTATCGTCGGGATCAGTCAAGAAATAAGAAAAGGGAACTTATTGAAATACTTTGTGCTGAGTATTCTATATTGTACTAAATATATAATGCTGAATAAAGACATTCATAATAATAATACTTTCATTTTAATGTAAAATAAAGGGTGTTGTTATATTTATATTGTATAATTGAAATGTATCGCCTGTAACTAGTAACAATTTTACTGTCTAAATTTCATAGAGTAATTAAAAGTTTTGCTCCTTTTTTTATTTATTCATGTAGTCATAACTCTTTTGAACATACGAAATTGATTATTTTTCTCCATGTGTACATTTATTATTGACTAATGGTTACTGATTTCATTATGTTAATTAAATGAATTTTTAATAAATGTAGACTAAATTGAGCGATGTTAATTTACCTTAGATCTAACATATATTAACAATATCATATCTGTAATGTTTAAAAACACTAAGAAAAGTTCGTTAGTTTGTTTAGTTAGCTACAACGTAGGACCAGGCACATATATGCATCGGTCCAAGTTATCAAATCTTATCAACAGAACAAGATGAACACCAAATTTATAAAAGTAGTAGTAGGTAATGGATAAAAGAAAGATTGTGTATAAGGATATAGTACAAGAAGAAAGAATTAGTTAGTAGAAAGAAAGAGGAGAAGAGGAGTGTATACACCTACGCAAATATGATCAATTCTGAGCCATGTCAGACTCCAACAATTGGTTACGATAGTCACGCGGACCCCAACCACGTAGACTGCATCTACCAACATGGCTAAGACTAGAAGTTATGACTTTATGGACTGATGTCACATTTTGGTTTAGCCGCTCCTCCAATACGTCGTGGTAATCGGTGTTCAGGCATACGTGACACGTGCCCCAATCATCTTAGTCGATGAAGATTTACAACCTCATCAACTGATTTACCATCATTCCTTAATACCATGCATCTAACCTCATTATTAATTACCCAGTGATCGCAGCAGATGCAAGCAATATTTCTAAGATATCTGTGATCAAATACTAGTAGCTTACGAGTATCTTTTACTCCTAACGGTCACGTCATGGAGCCGTAACATAGAACAGAATGAACTACTGCGCAGTATACTCGTCCCTTAATTGATGGACGGATATCTCGCCAACGCCATAGGTGACGTAAGTTGGTAAAAGCCAAATGAGTTTTCTGAATCCATGGAGAGTGTAATATATTTTATATTTACTCTATAAGAAATTATATTTGTTAACTGTAGTATTTAAAGAAACTATCAATGATACATTCATCACTCAATTATATTCAGTCCTATTATGAACTATTTATAAAAGAATACTGTGACATATTACATTCTTCAATTTACTTTACATTTGCAAAATTACGCTTTCATTTATCAATACAGTAAAGGAAAAGAATTTTAATATTTGTCATGGTTTTTTATCTCATAACGAAGCCAATTTTTCATATGCCTTTTATATTTTCAAAATACTTTATTATTATACAAAGATGGATAATGGCTAGCAGTGGGATCCCAGACGCACATTTCGTCCTATTTGGGACTCGTCAGCTGGGTGTACCTGCATCCCAGAGTTGTTGTTGACTAAGGGACTCGAACCCAGTAGCGTTCGCTTGGATTCCACTGCTAGCCACTATCCATCTTTGTTTAAAAAGCCTATGACTTTAGGCTATATCGGGGAAATCTGCACAGGATGCACAAATGCCAACATGACTGATGCAGTCCTAAATAACAGTGGGAAGATATAAGTAAAACAATATCAAGCGAACTTAAAACTTCATTATTACTATTATTATTATCATTATCATGATCATAAGTATTATTATTTCTTGTTTCTACTTAAGAATCAACAGTTTTAATTAATCTCTCATGTATTATATGGCTTTCGAAGAACATTGATCTCTTAATCTTGCCTAGTATATCATTTTCTTTTTTTTTCTGTATGTTCATACTGTTTACATTCATCTGTGTCAGTAATTGTGGAAATACATCAAAATCATTTTTGATTAAGGTATTACATCAATTCTCAGTAATCACTAAAACTGAAATGTAACCACAAAGTAGATTATCGTTTATCAAGCAGAATAACTTTTTGTCAATTTGAGCACGTAGATCAATCTGATAAGTTATAATATGCCCGACAATTCAGTTTTATAGTTTCTTACCAACTGCTCCATTATCAAATATAGTATGTATTAGTATTAGATCACCAGGCTAATTCAGAAATCTATAAAATCCGAGTAACAAATCTCAATGAGTTCTAAGAATCAAGCTGTAAAAGTTTAGTTAATCTTCAGTGACAGATTAGTGTATTTATTGCATAACCAATGGGTAGAGATTGCTTTCAAAGTAAATTTCGATCAATTAGCAGTCTATGAAACCTTTAAATACGTTAACTACCATTATTACAAAAGGTCTTTGATGAATACACAAACGTAAAGCATGGAAGAGGTTTCAAGAGTCAATTACTCAATTTTATAAATGCTAGCTGGATGGAGTGCAGTGTAATGCAGATTTAGGTTTGATTTAAATCAATGATTAGTTTAGGAAGGCAGTGAGCCTAGGTAAGACATTTAATTGTATAGCTATCTTGATAGGTCACTGATTTTTTAATCAAATAATCACCAGTTGGTTACATTTTCTGGATAGGGATTCGCAATTAGATTTCAACATTGAAAGTAAAAATATGATTTTCGTTTTTAAAATAGAGCCTAGGTGTTATTTAAATTTAAACTTCAGACTTTTAGATTACTAGTTCTATAATTAAGGGTCAGGATAGAAATGTAGAACCTACCTTTGTAATAGTCTAGTAATCATATAATAAACAGAAGTTTGATCTAATTTTAGGAAAATAAACCTATCAATCATTGTACAACTTATGTGAACGGTTTATTTATTAGCCCATAGAAGGTAAGGAATGATTTGACAGTTCAGATACCATATTTAAACAGTTGGGTAGTAGGATCTCTATTCTTTACACATAAAGTTATGACTCATAGTCGAGTATATGGTCCTGGGTTTGATACCTAAGGTACATTACTTAGCAATTAACTATATACAACCGATTTCTTTTCCATCAAAAATTATGTAGAAATTGGTTGTCGTTTCTGTATTTTAATTTAACAGAATTGAAGTGCCTATAAATTGGCTACATATTGATGGTCAATTAAATGAAAGAGTTCTTCAAAATGCATACATCTTTTGCTTTCCAATATAATAAGTAGCGGCTCAAATACTACTACACGTTCACACTATAAATTCAAATCTCACTGTAAATGAACGAATCGTTAATCAATGTACTAATTAAACAAAATAAAACAGTATAGAATAAATAGCCATTTATACTTAGATACTATTAATACAAAACGAAAAGTAACACAAAATCTTTCTTATACGAAAGTACATTGTGCTCATTTATATTTATGTATGTGTACTTGTGTGTGTATATAGATATGTGCAGTTATACATGTACCCAGATAAATGAAAACGAAAGTGTGAAAATAATAACGACTAAAAAAACAAATAACAGACAAACAAACAAAAAAACAAGAAGAAAATCACAATTTAAATGTGCATAAATGAGTTAGTTATTTAAATAATTTCTGATTAACTAGTATTAGCAGCAGTAATAGTTAGTAGTAGCAATAACAGTAGTAATGTTTGTTTTAGTTAAAATTTCTATATATAAACAGATTTGTTTTACTAATGTCTTATTTTATTCCATTGTTCAATTAATATTTTCTTTCTTTTACATAGAAAAAAAATAATAATAATAAAAGGTTCCATAAGCACTAAAAGGACATAGAAGTGTTGGTGATGATGGAAATGTATTGAAATTTATCTATTTTCTTTTTGTTTTTAATTCTAAACAAAACAAAAACATGATTGTAAAATATTAAAAGAGTGTAATTTCTCTTTTGATTTACTTATTTATTTTTAAAAGAAAAAGAAAAAAAACATTTATTGATGACCTCTTGCATTATCAGGTGAAATAGTTCTTGATGAAGTCTCTTGATATTCTTCCCATATTTGTGTTTCACTTGTCCATGAATGTTCATCATTTTCATGTCTTACTTGTACACGTGATGGAATTAATTTATAATCATTATATAATGGTGATGTTATATCAATTCGAGTACATGATACACTTCTAGTATCTGGTAATATATTAATTGGATGATATAAGTTAGATGTACTTATATCTCTAGTTGTAAAAACATCATCTGATCTAGTTCTTGGTATATTGAATTCATGATGATATTGATTAGATCGATGAGGATAATTTTCTTCAATATCATCTTGTTCATAATTTAAAGATACTTGAGATGGAGCTAAAAGATTTACTTGTGTTGATAATAGAAGTGATCCTGGCTCTTTATTTGGTGTACCTGATGTTGTTATATAGCGTTGTGGTTCTATTTCTTCAATAAATCTTAACCAACCAGCTTGTTTTGCAGTTAGAAAACTACACCATTTAGTTGGAATGAAATCTTCTGATATTAAATGCCCTGTAGAATTCATACTACGTAACATTGGTCTTGCTGGCCAATCAGCAGCAACTTCACCAGTTTCCCAATTTAATAAACCTAAACGTACAGCTTCTAATGGACCTAACCAAGGAGATGGTTCACCGCCAGGACAAATATGAGTAAGTTGATAAACTTTACAGCTAACTGGTTCATCTAATTCATCTTCCATAGATTCTGTTGTGGGAGTTGATGGTTCTAATTGTATAATTTGTCGACCTGCACCTTCTTCTATAGTAATCCATGTATTTGTTAAACTATCTAATAGGCGTATTTCATCTTCCGTTGTTTCAAGTATACCATTTGCTATTGCTAAATTGGGTGATAGTACTTCACCTGTAGCTGTATTAACAACGCTTGTTAAATAAGCTTTGCACCAACTAAAGTATACTCGTTCAATTAATAGTAATACAGGTGTATTTGTTATAACGTTTCTATCATAATGACTTGATGAACTAGTTAATCGTATACGTCCTTGTTGATAAGCCGTTTCTAGTGGAATAGCAACTCCGGTCATTGGATCCACATATTCATTGGCTTCACCAAGTCGAATCCATCCTCTTCTTATTGCCATTGCAACTGGTGCAAATAATCCTGTTCTTGGACTGGCCACCTCACGGATATTATTCCATTGTATACATGATGTTGAATATTGTGATTCAAATAATTCATACTGTAATGTTCGTTGACGTAGTTGAACTAAAATTTTCGACCTGTACAATAAAATAAAAAATCATGTGAAAATTGATATGTTTAAACAAAACTCTTTTGTCAAATACAGAGTTAATACACTACACTGCTGTGGAGTCTTAAACAAGAATAAGATACTCATTTTTAGTTCATAATGATTTTCATTAATTCTCCAACTTATATTAGTGAATAATAAGAATAATATGTTGAAGAATATTATCGTATTGAAGATAAACTAATTTAATATTTACTTATTTTCATAACAAAAGGAGTAGTATAAGTGTAACTAAAGTCACGATCAGACTAGAATCAGAGTCCCTTAAATTATAATTTTAATATTATAATATGTCAGGTAGTTTGAGAATAAACAAACTACAAGTGGTTTCTGGTTCATACTGATATCAATATATAAGTTATAACTAGTTTGGATAGTCTTTATTATTAAACTCATTAATTAATAGATCATGATTGAAAATGGAAATGTAAAATACCGTCCGGGATTTTGAATGTTAACTATATCAGGACTTCAATGAACTTTCCATTGAGCTACTGTCTCTGTATGGGTGTTAGCTTATTCAGTACGTACGAATTTTTACTTGTAAAGGGTTTTATTTCTCAGTTGTTGATCTTGAACAATACAAGTGATCGAGATTGGCAAATAACATGCTGGTGATTAAATCAAAAGCTAATGGATTTGAGTCTCTGAGTAAACATCAATACTAGGAAGTATCAGATATATCAAGCTGACCAGTTTTAGGTAGATCGAAATGCACCTCATATTTCCTATTTCCAATTCATATCCAACTTTAATAAATATAGGAACGAGTAATAAAAAATCCATGAAACATAATTTCAATGCTTCAAAAGTGATGTTAGTTCACTGTGAAAGTTAGCTTCAAATAGAAGAAATCCTTTTTAACAACCTAACAAATCATCATTCTTTTAAATACTTCTGGATTATTCAGTTATACAGTTACTTGATGACTATAGTAACTTTTGCAGTAAATAAGTATTAACTAAGTAACTATGAGAAGCTATAAAACTTGATAATATAGAACTCGATCAGCACTAAAGGACTAAGACAAACGTGAGGTTAGTTCCTACGCATTCATCAAAAAGTTGTAAATATTTTATTCTTAATGATGGAAAGCCGCTGTCTAAGTATCGAAATGATAACGTCTCAGACTGTGAAACTGAGTGGTGATATATTCTAATCCCGCAGGTAACATCAGTTCTCCCAAGATAGTAAATAAGCCTTACTGAAGGGTGTCAACAAGCAAGAAACTTAGGTTCAGGGTTACTTGTCGACCGTCTATAACCATTTAACCTCAGCATTATGAAAACAACTATCATTGTAGATTACTGAATATTTAAGTGATGAACGAATCTAATTTACTTAGAGATTCAGATATCGATTGTTAATATTATTTTATACTACTAAACGGATCATATAGTCAGTCATATACATATACATGGATTAGTTAACTACAAAACGAAATAGACAAAAAAATTAAGTGCCTAAATAATACCCTACATACTTCCATATAATTCACAAAAGATATGATATTCATTTGGAAAGTTTTAAAAAAATGAATCATCAAATGGGTAAAATGAAAGAATATTAAATTTTACAATTCTTTCTCTGAAGTCAGTTTAACAGATAATTAATAATTGACACAGAATAAATAGGATGTGGTTAGCAGTGGAGTCCAAGATACGAGTCCCATTCTATTTCAGGTTCTTCAGCCGAACGCGCCTGCATCCCAGAATGAGTGCCTACTCCGGGATTTGAGCCCAGTACTTCTAACTTTAAACAACACCGCGTTACCTCACTTGACAACTGAGTTCAGACGGCTATTCACTTGTGTAATGGATATGAATTTTTATTTTGTTTTATTTATTCAGATAACAAAATGGATAACATGATGGCTTTTAAAGCGAACGGTACTGGATTCGAGTCACACAGAGGACAGCAACTTTTCTTTTCAGATACATTCCGCTGACAAGTCCCAAAGAGAATGAAAAGCGTATTTTGGATTCCACTGATAGCCTTATTCCATCTATTTTATATCAACTGGTCATAATAGCAATACCGAAGTAATCCGCACAGGATGCTTATATGCCAACTAAAACTGATAATACTTCAGTCAGAAATATCAACGACAGGATAATACAAACCATTTTTAATTAAAATAATTAGTAATTTTAATAGTTGAGATCATGAGTCAACTGAAGCTAGACCACCATGGAAAAACTGGAAACACTGGATGGCCGTTTCGTCCTATTGTGGGACATCTCAGCAGTGCCCATCTACGAACCTGTTTTGCGAGATTCAAATTATTTTCATTTGTATGTTTATTTAATTGCAAAGACTTTATAAATGATGAAAATGAACCAAATATTATAAAATTTTGAATATTTTTTAAACCAACTTAAAAAGTAATCGGATTTTTCTAAAAAAAAATAAAGAATGAATTAAACCTTAAAATTAACTTAATACATTTCATTAGGAAACGTGATTTGGTGCGTTTCATATCTGAGTTCTACTTACTTACTGACCTACCTACCTACTTACCTACCCACCTACCCACCTATCTCCTAATCAATCATCACCTTTATCTCAAATAATCAAAGAGGTATGAAATAAGGAAAAAATATATGCAATTGTTCAAACATTTTTAGATTAATTAAACAATCAGTCATGAGCCAATTGAAGCTAGACCACGATGGAAAATCTGAAAGCATTGGATGGCTATTTCGTCTTAGTATAGGGCTCGTCAACAGTGCGCATCCACGATATTAGTGAAATTAGGTCACTTTGTAGTTGAGATTTGTACTGACTTATTTGACTTAATTATATATTTCTTTTGAACTATGTTTTTTTTTAAAAAATCGCTGTAGTTATTGTTTCTGGAGTTTTAAAGACTCTGAATGTGACTGATTATTATTTACACAATAAACAATTGGAAACAAATGATACTCACTATCTGTATTATCAGTTTTCACTTAATGTATTAGCTTTAAACTTTCCAATTCTTTTGAAATAACTAGCATAGACAATTTATTAACATCCCTTGTAATTTAAGTATATAAGTGAAAATTGATGTCATTTTAAAGTTGTTGTCTATTAGATAAACCCTTCTTAGATAAATAAACATACGTGGAAAAATATTTTTTTGAATAGTTATTACTAATGAAACAAATTTATAAGAATCAATTTTGAAATAATCTGGTTAACGTTCTTTTGGCAAGTTAGTTTTCTATGGGATGGGGTCGCTAACCCCATGCCCAACCCTCCTCCTTTGTTTGGGCTTCGGACCGGCAGTAGTCCCAGAGGGGCTCCAGGGGAAGTGTAAATTACATGATCAAGTTAATCTAACTGGTAAATTGAAGAAAAATACATCAGAAAAGTTATAAATAGTTAATTTTACTATAGTAGGTGAGTTTTACTTAAACCTATATGCTGACTGCCATTTCTTTGATCGAATTTGTAACAAAACTATTTGAAAAGACTAATTTTAGACAGCCAGGTAGTAATAGTAGTCCTCGCATGAATAATATGGGCAAAAGTTGAGTACATGAACCTGGGCCTAATAAGAGTTAAACATGTTGCTACTATTTGTCTTTGAGACAAGTGACCTCTATTCTGAACAGTATTTCATATAATAATATAACATGGCTTCAAAACTCACATGTGGTGGGTTTCTTCTGTAAGCGTTCCAACTTTTTCTACGATAGGGTCAGATTGGAAGGGTTCTGCAGATTCATGGAAAGAGATAGCTTCTAACTGCCATTCCTTCTGGAACTTTTTCTCGAGATCTGATTCCATAGGAATTACTTGTGTACCGCTACTAATAAGCACCTTTTCACTAGAATCAGTTGGTAATCTAGCGCAAATATTTAGTCGGTGAGACATATATTTTGACACAGATATATCTTCACTTTTATGCTCACCAGATCCAAGCACTCTGATGCCTGCCTTAATTACTTCACACAGATCTTCATCAGCCCATTCTAAGTCACCTGAAGAGATAATACTGGCCAGGCGAATTACTGATGTCTGAATACCCGTAGTAACTAAACGTTTAGGACTTTCTTCACGTAAATCTATTGAAGAATGACTTTCTTTTGTTTTGATGAAGTATTGTTGATCATAGAACGGATCTGTTTGCACACCCAATTCACAAACAATCAAATCCTCCTCCTCTGTGAATTCCTCCGTAATTTTTATTTGACTATAAACTTTTTTACTTTTCTTCTCCGTTATCTCCAAGATACGTTCTTCGATTACGTCGATAGGTTCACTAACTTGTTCAATTCGAGATTCTGTGTACAAATCTTGTTCAACTTGAGTCCACGCTTCTGCAATTTGATCTTTTATTAGTCTTCTTTGATAAATTTCAAAAATATCCTCTTTTAATTTTTCATGTCTTTCAGTCTGCATAGAAATTCCATAATGATCCGTTTGAGATGCTGTTGGTATATGTGTAGGACAGAATTGACACTGGACTTCACATACTTGTCCTAGTCTTGAGCGTATCAAATATGCTTCATAGGTGTAACTTGATCCACTAAGCGGGGATTCAGATCTTGATATTTCGGATTCAGACGGTGAACTATGTGAAAGTGAATCGAACACAATTTGAATGCCAACATCTGCTGCTGTAACAGGCTCTTCCATGGCCATTGAGGCCTGCTCACGTACCGACCCAAACTCCCGACGGCTTTGATAATAATCAAAGACAGAATGCGTTGGGGGACATTTTTCCCAAACTTCAGTTACACCACCTTCATGAACCAAGCGCTTCATGTATCGGGAATATGATGTGCCTGACACAGTTTGCTCACTATCATCATGTCCACTCGATTCTTCTAGTATTATATTTTCATTTTCTATATGATGCTCAACAATATAGTCTGTAGAAACTTCTTTTACGTAGAAGTCTTTTGAGTGCCCTTCATAAACTGAGCCAGTCAGATTGACTTGAACTTCTGCATCAGTCACAAGCATGTAACTGCATGGTGCTGAATAGTAATAACGTTCAATTAAACGTTCTCTGATGTCTGTAGAACTTACGTTTTGAAGTAAGACGGCAACATTTGACTCTGTATCATCAGTCATGGTTTCAGCATCAATGATGATATGTTTTTGAATTTTATCAGAGGTCATAGGTTGGGTTTGACAACAGGCATTTTCTTGAGCAGGCTCAAAAATATACTGGACTGAGAAGTTTTTCCTGTTCACGGTGGGTAATTGGCTGACAGGTAGCGCAGGAGAGTGTTCCTTTTGAGAATCAGGCCTATTAATATATGACTCTTCAGTTTGTATACAACTATTCACTAAACAACGGTGTAATTCTTTCAAATTATCGTCAACTAACTCCCATTCAAGGTCTCCAGAGTCAAGAGGGACATCTTCATCCTGAATCGTTGAAGACAAATAATCATGATCAACAAGGAAGAATCCAGATGTGTCAATTAATTTTGAACTTTTCAGTTCACAAGGAACAAGCTTTAATGGCTCAGTCAAGGTTCCTAAAGAGGAGCAACCAACGAACAATTTACAACAAGAATCAACAAGTGGAGAAGATAAGGAATCAGCCCTATCAACATTACCAAAACTATCAACAACCGGATATGTAGCTAACGATGAAAAATCACACTGAGACCAACAATCACAAAAAGAAGGTATGGCAGAAACGGAGCTATCATATAATGAGGAAGGCGTGAAATGAAGAACATCCTTTGTAAAACCGAGATCATCAGCAGAAACAGGCACAATGTCCGATGATTTCGTTAACACACTGATCGCACTATCCACAACACACACACTTTCCTTCACCGTCTGCACACAGGCTTCCAATGTTTGGATGCGTTTCGGTGGCTCGTGGACCGGAACAACTGGTGTCTCTGGTTTCACTGGTGCATGCATCTCACTCCAAGAATCCACCATGCACAATTGGACAGGTTTGGCTTGTGACGTCGCATCGGTGCGTTTCAACGACAAATGGGCAGCACCGTCGAGTAGAGATTTGTGTGGCTCGGTCTGTGCACCCACGTCGGACGAGGAGACTGGTACTGTGTCGATTTGTTGGTCGACAGTGGAACGCTTCGCGAACTGTGTGGCTTCCACTAGCGATGTTTTGCGAACAGGTTCAGGTGTGGGTAACTCCAATGAGGCGGTCTCGGTGACGAGAGGTGCTTGGACTTGAACGGTGGGTGTCGAGACAATCACATGCTGACTGGACTCCGCGACGTGTGTGGTAACGGAGGTCGCCTGTGTGGCAGTGTCAGTCAGTTGGCGTGGTGGTGGCTGTTTGACAGGCGGTTCTGCATAGGAGGTACTCACTGACATCATATGATCGGGTTTCACTGTCTTCAACTCTCTGTGATCCACACTGGTCACAACTGGTCGTTCGGTTTGAGTCACCTGTACTTCTCGTTCTGCTACTCCCACTGCTTCCGTCAGTGTGTGACTGCTGGTCTGTTGCACCTGGTAGCCAGAGCTCATGACACGCGTGGCCACACGCATTCCGAACTGCATTCCAACGTCCTGAGTGACTGGCTTCTCGACCTTCATGGCCATGGATAGTGTTGACTCGACGTAGGGTGCCGGTTTCACATATGTCACTAGTTCACTGGATGACTGACAGAGATTGGAGAACTTGCTGGTCTGCATAGCGACATTCGACGTCTTCACAGTCACAGGAACCGGTTCGATCTTAGGCTGAACGGTCTGACAAGCCATCTCTTCGGTATTCACGTACCGATGTCCACAGCTGGTACACAGACTCCTCTCGACCACTTTCGGTTCTAACTTGTGTGTGGTCAGACTGACAACCGGTGTGCTCACCCTATCCACTTGCACTTCAGCATTCACACTCGGTCTCTTCACGAAAGCTGCAGCCGAATCGAGCACACTTTCGGGCGACTTCATTGACACACTGGTCGCACTATCCACAACACACACACTTTCCTTCACCGTCTGCACACAGGCTTCCAATGTTTGGATGCGTTTCGGTGGCTCGTGGACCGGAACAACTGGTGTCTCTGGTTTCACTGGTGCATGCATCTCACTCCAAGAATCCACCATGCACAATTGGACAGGTTTGGCTTGTGACGTCGCATCGGTGCGTTTCAACGACAAATGGGCAGCACCGTCGAGTAGAGATTTGTGTGGCTCGGTCTGTGCACCCACGTCGGACGAGGAGACTGGTACTGTGTCGATTTGTTGGTCGACAGTGGAACGCTTCGCGAACTGTGTGGCTTCCACTAGCGATGTTTTGCGAACAGGTTCAGGTGTGGGTAACTCCAATGAGGCGGTCTCGGTGACGAGAGGTGCTTGGACTTGAACGGTGGGTGTCGAGACAATCACATGCTGACTGGACTCCGCGACGTGTGTGGTAACGGAGGTCGCCTGTGTGGCAGTGTCAGTCAGTTGGCGTGGTGGTGGCTGTTTGACAGGCGGTTCTGCATAGGAGGTACTCACTGACATCATATGATCGGGTTTCACTGTCTTCAACTCTCTGTGATCCACACTGGTCACAACTGGTCGTTCGGTTTGAGTCACCTGTACTTCTCGTTCTGCTACTCCCACTGCTTCCGTCAGTGTGTGACTGCTGGTCTGTTGCACCTGGTAGCCAGAGCTCATGACACGCGTGGCCACACGCATTCCGAACTGCATTCCAACGTCCTGAGTGACTGGCTTCTCGACCTTCATGGCCATGGATAGTGTTGACTCGACGTAGGGTGCCGGTTTCACATGTGTCACTACTTCACTGGTTGTCTGACAGAGATTGGAGAACTTGCTGGTCTGCATAGCGACATTCGACGTCTTCACAGTCACAGGAACCGGTTCGATCTTAGGCTGAACGGTCTGACAAGCCATCTCTTCGGTATTCACGTACCGATGTCCACAGCTGGTACACAGACTCCTCTCGACCACTTTCGGTTCTAACTTGTGTGTGGTCAGACTGACAACCGGTGTGCTCACCCTATCCACTTGCACTTCAGCATTCACACTCGGTCTCTTCACGAAAGCTGCAGCCGAATCGAGCACACTTTCGGGCGACTTCATTGACACACTGGTCGCACTATCCACAACACACACACTTTCCTTCACCGTCTGCACACAGGCTTCCAATGTTTGGATGCGTTTCGGTGGCTCGTGGACCGGAACAACTGGTGTCTCTGGTTTCACTGGTGCATGCATCTCACTCCAAGAATCCACCATGCACAATTGGACAGGTTTGGCTTGTGACGTCGCATCGGTGCGTTTCAACGACAAATGGGCAGCACCGTCGAGTAGAGATTTGTGTGGCTCGGTCTGTGCACCCACGTCGGACGAGGAGACTGGTACTGTGTCGATTTGTTGGTCGACAGTGGAACGTTTCACGAACTGTGTGGCTTCCACTAGCGATGTTTTGCGAACAGGTTCAGGTGTGGGTAACTCCAATGAGGCGGTCTCGGTGACGAGAGGTGCTTGGACTTGAACGGTGGGTGTCGAGACAATCACATGCTGACTGGACTCCGCGACGTGTGTGGTAACGGAGGTCGCCTGTGTGGCAGTGTCAGTCAGTTGGCGTGGTGGTGGCTGTTTGACAGGCGGTTCTGCATAGGAGGTACTCACTGACATCATATGATCGGGTTTCACTGTCTTCAACTCTCTGTGATCCACACTGGTCACAACTGGTCGTTCGGTTTGAGTCACCTGTACTTCTCGTTCTGCTACTCCCACTGCTTCCGTCAGTGTGTGACTGCTGGTCTGTTGCACCTGGTAGCCAGAGCTCATGACACGCGTGGCCACACGCATTCCGAACTGCATTCCAACGTCCTGAGTGACTGGCTTCTCGACCTTCATGGCCATGGATAGTGTTGACTCGACGTAGGGTGCCGGTTTCACATATGTCACTACTTCACTGGTTGTCTGACAGAGATTGGAGAACTTGCTGGTCTGCATAGCGACATTCGACGTCTTCACAGTCACAGGAACCGGTTCGATCTTAGGCTGAACGGTCTGACAAGCCATCTCTTCGGTATTCACGTACCGATGTCCACAGCTGGTACACAGACTCCTCTCGACCACTTTCGGTTCTAACTTGTGTGTGGTCAGACTGACAACCGGTGTGCTCACCCTATCCACTTGCACTTCAGCATTCACACTCGGTCTCTTCACGAAAGCTGCAGCCGAATCGAGCACACTTTCGGGCGACTTCATTGACACACTGGTCGCACTATCCACAACACACACACTTTCCTTCACCGTCTGCACACAGGCTTCCAATGTTTGGATGCGTTTCGGTGGCTCGTGGACCGGAACAACTGGTGTCTCTGGTTTCACTGGTGCATGCATCTCACTCCAAGAATCCACCATGCACAATTGGACAGGTTTGGCTTGTGACGTCGCATCGGTGCGTTTCAACGACAAATGGGCAGCACCGTCGAGTAGAGATTTGTGTGGCTCGGTCTGTGCACCCACGTCGGACGAGGAGACTGGTACTGTGTCGATTTGTTGGTCGACAGTGGAACGTTTCACGAACTGTGTGGCTTCCACTAGCGATGTTTTGCGAACAGGTTCAGGTGTGGGTAACTCCAATGAGGCGGTCTCGGTGACGAGAGGTGCTTGGACTTGAACGGTGGGTGTCGAGACAATCACATGCTGACTGGACTCCGCGACGTGTGTGGTAACGGAGGTCGCCTGTGTGGCAGTGTCAGTCAGTTGGCGTGGTGGTGGCTGTTTGACAGGCGGTTCTGCATAGGAGGTACTCACTGACATCATATGATCGGGTTTCACTGTCTTCAACTCTCTGTGATCCACACTGGTCACAACTGGTCGTTCGGTTTGAGTCACCTGTACTTCTCGTTCTGCTACTCCCACTGCTTCCGTCAGTGTGTGACTGCTGGTCTGTTGCACCTGGTAGCCAGAGCTCATGACACGCGTGGCCACACGCATTCCGAACTGCATTCCAACGTCCTGAGTGACTGGCTTCTCGACCTTCATGGCCATGGATAGTGTTGACTCGACGTAGGGTGCCGGTTTCACATATGTCACTACTTCACTGGTTGTCTGACAGAGATTGGAGAACTTGCTGGTCTGCATAGCGACATTCGACGTCTTCACAGTCACAGGAACCGGTTCGATCTTAGGCTGAACGGTCTGACAAGCCATCTCTTCGGTATTCACGTACCGATGTCCACAGCTGGTACACAGACTCCTCTCGACCACTTTCGGTTCTAACTTGTGTGTGGTCAGACTGACAACCGGTGTGCTCACCCTATCCACTTGCACTTCAGCATTCACACTCGGTCTCTTCACGAAAGCTGCAGCCGAATCGAGCACACTTTCGGGCGACTTCATTGACACACTGGTCGCACTATCCACAACACACACACTTTCCTTCACCGTCTGCACACAGGCTTCCAATGTTTGGATGCGTTTCGGTGGCTCGTGGACCGGAACAACTGGTGTCTCTGGTTTCACTGGTGCATGCATCTCACTCCAAGAATCCACCATGCACAATTGGACAGGTTTGGCTTGTGACGTCGCATCGGTGCGTTTCAACGACAAATGGGCAGCACCGTCGAGTAGAGATTTGTGTGGCTCGGTCTGTGCACCCACGTCGGACGAGGAGACTGGTACTGTGTCGATTTGTTGGTCGACAGTGGAACGTTTCACGAACTGTGTGGCTTCCACTAGCGATGTTTTGCGAACAGGTTCAGGTGTGGGTAACTCCAATGAGGCGGTCTCGGTGACGAGAGGTGCTTGGACTTGAACGGTGGGTGTCGAGACAATCACATGCTGACTGGACTCCGCGACGTGTGTGGTAACGGAGGTCGCCTGTGTGGCAGTGTCAGTCAGTTGGCGTGGTGGTGGCTGTTTGACAGGCGGTTCTGCATAGGAGGTACTCACTGACATCATATGATCGGGTTTCACTGTCTTCAACTCTGTGAGATTAACCTCGGTTACATTCATGCTTTCTGGTTTTACTACCTCACACCAAGATTCCACCATGCAAAATTTCTCTCTTATATCTTTTGTTTTGTAGTCAGTTCTTATTTCCGTTTTGTGTTTTATCTTACTCTCTTCGTGTTTGATGTGTTTATTTTCTTCTTCTGGTTTTTCTGTTTTGGTCATTGTTGTTTGTGTCCAACTATCATGTTGGAATTTTTTTGTTTGTATGCTGGCTTCTATTTTTAGGTTGTGTGTTTTGTCTTCTAGGCTTGTTATTTCCGTCTTCTTATCATCGGTTTGTTCATATTGTTGGAAATTTTCAACATATATTCCCGTTTGTTCAGGTGAACTGTCCTCTAATTTAACTCTACTATGTATTTGTCTTTGATCTACAAATGCGATACTCTGAGTAACTAATTTTGATTGGCTTGTCTGTCCAAACATTGTCCGACTTTCTTTACTACTTGTTTGGGTGTCGTACATTTCTGACATGGTTGTTTTGGGTGTTGTTTCTATAAGGTAGTGCTCTTGTTTGTCAAGAAGTCTTATTTCTTGCTGATACTGACAACCAAATTCACCTCTTAGTCGTGGACTTTCTACAACCTTTTCTTGTGATTTATGATCATCAGATGTAATTTTATATACTCCCACGGGGCTTTTCAGTATTTCATATGTTTGACAAGCTTTATCGCTCTTGTCTTTAGATTTCAACTTTTCTGCTTCTTGTTGAATGAGCTGATTGAATTGAGCTTCTGTTATCTCTTTTACATGTGCGTACTGTCCAACAGCGTAGATGAAATCTTCAGAGCGCTTTTCTGTTTGTGTTTGAACATTTTCTCTTTGCTTGGTAATTTGACGTGGTTGTTTTTGTAATTCTGTTATTGATTGTGAAATTGTGGTTATAAGATCTCTAGTACAGCATTCAATGCTTCTCAAAGTTGGACGTGCTTCTACACCTATATCTGTGATTTGAACTTTGCTAGGCCTTGTATGAATTATTCTAGCTGACTCTTCAATTTTTGTCAAACTCTTTGCTTCTTCAACATGCTGCTTTTCTATCCATGTTCTCCGTGTAAATTTGGTTTTTTTCAATGGATCTTCTGATTGCGTAGATTTTGAAATTGTTGATGGTTTCAAATTTTCTTGATCAGTGGAATCAAGTATATTAGTTTCTTCAGTTGGTGCTACTTCGATATATACAACTGAATAGCGCCCACCATCTTTTGTATCGATGTATTTTCTGCTCTTGTATGTTATTGGTTTATCATTTGTATCCATTGGCCGTTCAAGTGTTAACAACATTTGTTTGTCAAGTGTAGTCACAAAATTTTTATTTTCTTTCAAATAATCGTCATCCGATCTTGTATGAAAATCTTGTTTTGAATGATATTTATGATAATCTTCAATTTCATCGTCGGTTGTACAAGAACTACCAGTACCCATACTTTGAATTTCTTCACTCGTAGTACAACTACACACCATTTCTTCATCATATGTGAATATAGCTGGTAGTATAAACGTTTTATGTGGAAATTTCAGACTACTTGTAAAATGTGGTTGTTTAATTTGTTTCGAATGAACAATATATGATGTTTCCGTTTCATCAACCGATTCATAAGTACTTTCTGAATTTATATACTCTGAACCTGAACTTGACAGCCATTCATCATCAGAACTTGATGATAATGAATAAATATTAAATTGATTTTTATCTTTTGTTTGTTTATTCCATATTCTTAATTGATTTAATAAACTATCTAATTTTTTCTTATCTTTCTGAGCTAAATCACTGACAAAATAAGGAAAAAGAAAGGAGAATAATAAGAAAACAAAACGATTAACCATATTGTTAAATAACCTGACATATACCAATTATTCTTAAATTAAATTATTGTGATCAACTTGATCATTGAACAAAGGTCATTTATTTGTTTTATCAATGTCATTTACTGATTTAAATTAAAAATCAAAATGAATTCATTCCAATAATGAATACTTAAAAATATCTGATTCAAATTATGTCGCTTACTTTACAAGTGTCACAGTTTCCATCATATGAAAACTTTGCTCTTGAAGATCATTGAGTTTTTGTGATAGATCCAGTGGTATAATGTTTTCTTGTTCATATTGTTTTATAGTTCTCATATGGGCCTTTTAAATAAATAAAAAATTATGCCAAAATTATGGTTACTTATAAATAATTATTTATTTATTTCAAACAATGTGAAGTACTATCACAATCGATTGATCACTGGGTGGTAATCAATGTCATGTGTGTCAAGTCGTTATTAGTGCAGATCGAATGTTATCGAGCAAGTTGCAATGTGGCTATCAGTCTAGGTGACTGATTATGTGCAAAACATACTTTGAATAACATTAAATAACTTTAAATAAATAAGTAATATACCAATAACATTACTGAATTCTATTGATAATGTTTGAACGAGAGTTAGTAGGTTTAGTAAATTAAGATTTCGGAAGGTTGTAATTGTCATTTAGTTTTTCGGCAGTTTACTAATAATCTAGAGGTGTAAGAACGAATATTTTATTGTTGCTTATCAAGGAAAACCATATACTATCATATGTCCTCATTGTAGAAGATAAATGTAATTATGTGTGTGCTTAATATGACTGAATTAATTGTCCATCTGGATATGGTTATTGACTCTATACTCCTGTTTGGTTCAGTGAAGACATATATATATATATATATATATATATATATATATATATATATATATATATATATATATATATGTTTATTTGTTTCTTCTTTTTAGATTAAAAAACCAATGGTAATAACTGAATCGAACTGATAGAACACAACATTTGCCGGAAGTTTGGCAGGAGTATATGAAACTAAAGGTCTTGGTGGTAATTAAACGTTAAAAGTAAGCTATGTAAATGATCTTAATTCTTTTGTTCTTTAACTAGCATGTAAAGTAAGAGGTCAAACAACGGTAATTTAAGTTGGGTAAATAACTTCACTTTACAATTAGTTTCTCATTATAGGCTACATAAAATCATTATCAACCAAATGGTTGTAATTCAATCAACCAGCCTTCTAGCTCCTGATCAGCCAATTAAACCAAATTCATCAAGTCAAATTCATCATCTTGTTTCTAAATATCATCTTTCATGGTGAAGGTCAGAGGAAGACTATATAAAATCTGTATCTTTGTATATCTATTCGACACTGATTATTAAATTGATTAATAGATAACTTTTAATGTTATCTATTGATTCTTTTTCAATGTGATCTTTGTTTTAAGAGTTCACCTTTTATATATAGTGAAAATCACAATAATACACACAAATAAACTGAACTACATATAAGAAATTTATGAGATCTCTTATCTCACCTCATAACTATATTTATGGAATTCCGATATTTGCTTATACCTTTCTTTTTATAATTAATTATACCTTATATAATCAATATTAGCAATTAAATCGATCAATTGATTATTGGAAAGTAACCAAATTTTTTCCCAAATTAACAATAAATTTTAATGCATAACGTTAACTGAATTGTAACCATTTTGACAACACCTAAATTTGTATTCACTTATAATGCTTAAATCATATGAATGTAGGGCTATGATGTTGATGATGATAATGAAAAGTTTAAAGAAAAGAAATTTCTTAATTAATTGATTCGTATGTTTATGTAATATCCTAATGGAAGTATTATATAATAACAATTAAGGTGGAAAAAAAAGAATATATATATATATATATATATATATATATATATATATATATATATATATATATACATGTATATTATACAGAGTATTCAAACTTAAAATGGTTAAGAAAAAGAGAATTCAGTGAAGAAAATTGTTTTTTGGGGACACATCAATGTTTGTCTATAAATTTACTTGCTAATGTGGGGCAGGTGACATTGGCCACACAAAGCGATCACTTTCCAAATACATCTCTGAACACTATCCAGTATGCTTTTTAAAAATAGAATGTAAAATAATTACTAGTTCTGTACAAGAGCATTTAATCAACGTGGATCCGTTGCTCCAAAAAAGTCTGCTTTGAAAGTAATCTACATAGTGAAAGGAATTGGATCAAAGGAATTCGAATCAATATTTTATGGACTGCTGAGGTATTGGCAATCCACGAACTTAAGTCCGAATTTCGCGTGCAGGGACGATTCGTTCAACCTCTCATCTTTCCTTGCCCCTAATTCCCTTTAATGGTATGTTTCGGGTTTTTTTCCTTCATTCCTTCTTCTTCTTCCTGTTCACTTTTTCATTATTATTGATTTGTCAATTTTCTTCATATCTGCCAATTGGACGATTATCTGACCCATTAATTATTTTCTTCCCTACCCCTTGATTAATAAGTAACCTCATTTGATATTTAGTCTCCAGTCTATTTATGATGCAATCTTTTCTATCCTTCTATAGACATGCATTTTCCATATAACTATAAATACAAATGTAAAGCGTAAGCAAATGATTTCATCGAAAAGAATAAATTTTCTTCGCTGAATTCTCTTTTTTTTATTTAGTGACACTATAGGTTATTTTTATCAGAATGGTTACTTATTATAATACATTATTTATAATAAAGTTAAAATTCCATTCTAAATATCATATTTAACTTTATAGAGATTTGTTCAATACTGAAGAAAGATTAATTTATAAGTGAGTTCGAATTTTTATTTTTTATTTTATTTTATTTACAGTGTTATCCGCTTTACTTGTATCTTCCCATTATTATTTAGGATTGCGAGTGATCAATCTCATGTTGACATATATGCTTCCTGTGCAGATTGCCTCGATATAGCCTTAAATCACAAGCTTTTGAAGACAAGATAGATAGTGGCTAGTAGTGGAATCCAGGACTCGTGAAATAGGATGAAACGCGCATCCTGGATTCTACTGCTAGTCATTATCCATCTTTGCTTAACATAGATTTTGATTTGTAGATCAGGTGGATTCGGTTAATATTTCATAATACAAGTATAATAACTCAGTAATTAATGATCGTTATCAAATAACTGGTATTATAAATATATGTATGTATATATAATATATGATTAAATTTACTTTGGGTAAAATCTAACAACTCACTTTATTCCAATCAAGTAGACTTTGAAATATTGCAATTTCTGTTCGACGTAGATGAATGCTACCTGACATACGTGTCCCAACTGTAAATATATTTATAAAGAATAAAATAAATGGATTGATCATACTTATTTCCGTATACTTTTTTATCTATTGAATAGAGTAAGTTATGTATAGTATTCATAACAGAAACGTCACTTTGACATTGTTAAGATTGAAAGTCACTATTGAGATATACTTAATTTTTTGGGTGGTTTATGTCAAATACTGAGATCGATTGAGGCACAATTGAAAATTGAGGAATATTGAGGCTTTATCTCATACTAAAAAACGTTTTAACTAGCGTTTCTGCAATTCGGGTATTCAGACATTAATAGTCACTAAGTGAAAATATTCAGTGAGAATGATCTGAAATAATGTACAAAAATAAATCATCTAAAAGGTGTTAAGATTATAGTTAAAGGAGAGTTAGTAACTTTATTCCAATGTTGTTTATATTATGAATTTAATTGATTTGATCATTTTGGTATAACACTACGAATGTACTGGAATGATGAACCCTTAATGGGATAATGTTTGTATAAGTACTGAGACTCAAGTGCATCAGAAACTAACACATACATAACAAATTCTTAACTACAGTAGCAACAACCTAAGAACTGACAAAACTAGCTAAGTACAAACATTACTAACAAAGGAAAAGTACACACCGCAGCATACTTACAGAGAGAAAAAATAATACAAACACTTCATTGCAAGTTCATCAAAAAATGCCAGTCTAACCCATCAGCAAAAACGAAATCAAATACAGAAACCAATAAACGCATCAACCTTCCATATATAAAAGAGATCAGAAATTGAAAAGACATTATTGAACCTGTTTAGAATAATTATAGCACACAAACCAGAAAAATCAATTCACTCAGTCTTATACAAACCGGAGGATGTGATAATAAATGAAGTAAAGTCAAACATCGTCTATAAAATAAGATGATTCAACTGCGCGAGACACTAAATCGGACAAAGTGGACATCCTACTCTTTTTCTCATGGACGAATATCAAGCAGCGGTCGAACGCCATAATATATCTTCGCTTATATCAATGCATGTAGACACACATTCGGCAGGGAAAATGTTAAAAACTCAGACCAAGGAAACACTGAGGACACTAGAGAATGCTTAGAAGCTTTCGACTCAAGTCAATTAGGAATCAAAAACACTTCGAAATCGATCCGATTTATCAACCAATCAAAAACTCATAAGAAAAGTTAGGACCAAGAGTCAGATCAGTGATAGAGACAATCAAAATAAAGATTTAGACAATGACAGGTTAAACGACAACAATAACTAATCAAAATTGAAGTCAATAGAACAAGCTTTCAGCCATATGAGAAGAAATTCGAATACATCACTCGTACCTGAAGTTTGTGCTGATGATGTTGTTCAGAAGAACAGTCAAGGCTTTGCGATTAAACTATCCAGCTCAGCGGACAAACTCTACTAAAATATACATGTATAAAAATGCAATTTACAAGTGTAATGTCACTTTTGTAGGGTAAAAGTAACTATTATTAATAAATATATGACCTTTCATAAGACAACAAAATGTCATTTTATTTAGCTGATCTTTTCTATTGTTTCCATGTAATTACTGTCAAATTATTTCAAAGAATTAAAACATACCGTTAGGAAAAACTTACGTGTCTTTGTTTTATTCCAATGTTCACGTGTAGCATCAATAAGTCGTAAGAATTCTTTATTAAAATTTTCCGCCTCAGCTGTTGGTGGTTCAGTTAGAGAGAATACTAAGTTATTTAGAAATCGTTTAAATGCTTCATCATCATCTGTAGTTAAACCCTATTGATTAATCAAGATGGAATAAAATAACAGTGTTGAAAAGAGTGAGAGCAATTTTAGCGACTTGTAATATTGAAAAGTTTAACAAAAGCTATAAAAATAGGTAACCTTGCTGCCCACTTATGATTCATTTGAACTTAGAGAGCCAAACACACCATGATACTGACATACCTAAAAATCACAGATCACAAAATTTCCTCTCTACCGACTTTTAGCACTGTTACGTCCTTGATCTATCTGCCCACTAATATGCAGAAGCTAGTTTGTCGCTATCCAGATTAAGAACTTGACAAGATGGTTGACTAGTTTAACTTTGAGGCTAGTATGCGTGAGTTCAAACTGAGACTACTGCTTTGGGTAGAGAGACGGAAAGTATTCTACCACCTGATCAATTGAAAAGCGTGCGAGAGAGAGAAAGCGAGTCAACTGGAACACTACTCAATTTATTCCTAATTCCGATTCACACTCCATTTCGGTCCAAATTCAGATAAGTGCAAAAAGATACATGAATAAATAGATGACTAACAAGACCACAATGCACAAACAATTAGAAAAATACAATTATATCCAAAACTGGGGATTAGCATAGGAAATAGAGTACAAAAGATTATGTCTAAATTATAATAGCTTTGGAACAGAAAAGGCTATGGTAGTAAATCATACATCAAACGAAAGCTTATGGTTTGTAGAATAAACTAGGGACAAAAATAAATGTTAGCGTTTTACAAGCTTTGAATTAAATGAAATAATGTCCCTAAAAATTAGCTTCCGTAGTTTGTCATAATTTCTTATTTCTCTGTTCACATCAAGCATAATTTTAAAAAAATAACTAATATGAATCTTGGAATCAATACACAAATTACTTAATTAGTAGGAATGGAAAAGATATATGAATATTATAGAGAATGTGGAAGATGGGAGTGTGATTAGGAAACAATTAGTTCATTCATTGTTTACCAATGTATCAATAATTGAGGCAATCAAATTGTTGTATCAGCAAATATTAAGTAAATATAATGATTAAAATCTTAATTATTGTCTTAAATAATAGATTACATGATGTACAATGAATGTTTATTTTACCCTTAATAAAGCATACTGTTAAAAGAAATCAATGAAACAGCCATTGAATAAATCTATCATTGGTGACTTCCTAATAGAAAAACATAATTTATAAAATTGTTTACTAAGAAGCTTGTTAAACATTGCAAAACTCAGCATTATCAATGAAAACATCATTGTAGAGGGATAATTAAATAATTGAACAGTGTACACCCTGCAAATATCTTCATTTATGAAAAGTATATTATAAATGATAAGAATGCCGGTAGATCAGTAAAAATGTATACAAAAAGAATTTATCTATTTATGAAAATATATATTTAAAATGTTGTGAACAGGAACACCGATGGAGACAATCAAATTTATTCGAACACAAAATTATAGAGCATCTCAATAAAATCTGAGAATCATATATTAAATCGTTAATTTGCAAAATATCAATCCATCATATCAAACTTGACTGTTTCTGTTGGAAATATCAATCCATTGTCTTAGATTTCATTGTTCATGCATCTTCATACCAATTGCGTTCTGTTCCCTTTCTTTCCTCGTCGACCTACCGAAATATATTCTACGCCTGACCACTGTCATACACTACTTGTGTGGATATAAGTAACCCACACCACAATATAACTTCGTATCCACGAGATGTTAGACTTCAAATCTTCCCTTAGATGATGTCATATAAACGATTTAAAATTTATACGCAATACGTTAAGTGAAATGAGTAATTTTGCAATATTTCTAATCAAGTATATGTATGCAAGTAATAAGACATTAAAGATATTAGTTCTTAAGAATCTTCTTATCATAAGATTGGTACTGAACATAAATATACTTAGTCACATCTTATAGTACAGATCATTCAGAATTGTAAACGGAACATTACTTATGATCAATGATCGTTGTTCATTTCCTAGTCGATCAAATAGAAGCTGTTCAATTAAAGGACAATTTGATAGTTGGATTCATAAGTTAATTGAAGCTAGATCACCATGGAAAACATGAAAGCACTGGACGGCCGTTTCGTCTCCTCACCAGTGCGCATCCACGATACCGCCTCGCATGATTCGAACCCAGTGTCTCGCGAAGCAGGATCGTGAATGTGCACTGCTGAGTCCCATACTAGGACGAAACGGCTGTTCAGGGTATTTCATGATGGTCTAGCTTCAATTGACTGATGAATCCAACTATTAAATTACTAAAATCTTCACAATACCCTCTTCTCATAAAAGACAATTTATCAAGTTTTGTAACAACAGTTAAAACAATCTAAAGCTAACAAATTTGATAATTAACAATTACTGCCAGTTTTTAACCTGATAATTGTTTTTTCTTATTCCATATAATAGTATTTATATTCGAAAAAAGTTTATGATATTCTTATCCTTTTCATTGGTAAAGGAAAAACAAACTTGATAAACTATCTTATCACCATTTTATTCTCTTTAAAGTATTGCATTACTACTTGTATACTTTAATTTTCACTAGTCACATTTACTAATATTTATTATTGAGTAACATTTAATGACTATTGTTTTAAATTTATAAGCCGTTTTAATCAATTACATTGTGAGCGGTGGTCTAGTAGTTAAGCGCTTGTGTGTGAGACTGATAGGTCCTGGGTTCGAATCACCCAGGGCGGGGTCGTGGATGTTCACTACTGAGGAGTTCCACAATAAGGCAAAACGACCGTCCAGTGCTTCCAGGGTTTTCATGGTGGTCTAGCTTTAATTGACTCGTGATCTCAACTATTGCAATTACGTTTTAACAAATTTGAATGAAATTGTAGAATTTTATCTATTTAGTTACCTATTATTATTATTATTATCATCATCTTGTCACCTCTAATTAAATCCTATTGTTTTTTTTGAATACAATGAACTTTATTTAAGTACCTAAGTAATCAAACTGATAATATTTCACAATATAGTTTGTTTGCAACCTTTATTCTCTTATAAATTTATAAATTTAGGAATCAATTGAGTGGGTTTCATTATAAAGATAATGCATTCAGTAGTATAATATATATATATATATATATATATATATATATATATACAAATTTCACATACATACATATACACTTACATACAAACAAATAAATGTGTGTAATTTTTCTTTAATTTTAATAAGCTTACTTTTAAAGTATTCTCGGATTTCATCATGTTACCACTACCATCTTATATGGAATTTTTTATATCCTAACAAGAGTGTGTTTTAACTTACCCTATTTTTTTGATTAAGTTACTAACTAACAGTCAATTATGATAAGTATTAGTTCTATATATGAAGTAATTGACTATTATTATGTAAACAAGAAAGATCTTTGATAAGATATAAATGTATTAGCACAAGAATGTTATAACAATAAAGAAGCACTTTCTGATGATTATAAGGTGTTATTCAATTCTTCAAAGTTGTTGATATTCTTTTAATTTAGAAGTACTTAATTGAATATATCTTGAGGGGAAGGTGAGATGAGTCGATCAACTATCTGGAGTAAACTTGGCAATTTTTAACTTCTATCAAGTTACCACATATTCCTATTTAAAGTAAAGACATTACGTTTTAACTGAAAATGATTTAGGGAGAACGAATTTAATAATCTATCATAAAAAGAACACTGATATTTAAAAATTAATTAAGCAAAACGAGTCTTTATGAAAACGTTTTTCAGTATAAAATATTATAGCTTTAACAATTTACACCTTTATTTTTCATAGTTAATCCCTTTAAATGGAATGTTCTATGGTTTTATTTTACATTGAAAATACTTGTGAAGGAAGAGAATGTAACTGCCCATATGTAATATCAATGAAAATATATACAAAATGTATTCAAAACTTACATCACTTTCAATAAACCGTTGTAATAAGATTGTGAAAAATTGAAGACAAATTTTCAATTGTTCATCTATTATGTAATTCCAACTATCCAAAATAACTTTATATAGTCTATGAAGGATAAAAATATTGATATTATGTTGATTAACATAAAACAATCAGATCCTAATAAATTCAGTAAAGAGTTTAGTAATTAATGAGAACATTTGTAAAAGTAATTGATAGTTTGTTTTTTCCTCGAACTCATTAAGTTTATCTATACAATTTTAATTTACAATATATTTGAATCATCTCTTTGAAGTAATAGGTATTATAGAAAGTAATTATAAGACATTCTAGTCAAATATTTACCAGATAATTCCTTAAATTTAATTAATAAATATGATGTCATGTGATGATCATATCAACTTTCATTCAATAGGCCAAAAATCTGGTAATCAATGATTTTCGACTTATACACAATGTGACTACTATTAAACACTGACAATGATTCACTTAGTATTGTTTTGCTTGAATCTTCCCCATTGAGGTTTAGGACTGCAAATTGATCAGTCTGTTATTGGTATATAAGCAACAGTACTGGGTTCGAGTCCCAGGGTCAACATCAACTCTGAGATGTAGGTACATCTAGCTGATGAGTTCCAGATAGGACGAAACGACCGTTCTGGATTCCACTGCTAGCCACTATCCATCTTTGTATAAAAATCTCAATCTATTTAAAATATGTGTGGCCAATATTATCAGGTCAAATTAAATTGATAATGTGATTTCTTCATGAAAATTTGTAACATACTATATAAAAAGGGAATATTTTCAGATATGAGGAAACTATTGGGTTCAATGATTGTATATCTGAATCAAAAGGGATATAGTAGTAAATATAAACCTTAAATCCTAAATGTTGAATACTATTTGTTAGTTATCACTACGGATTGACATTTACCAGAAAATTATTAGAAAGACGATAAATTATAAACAGTCATTTGATCTTATTTTAAAACTTTACAAAAGTAAACATATACAGCATAAAATAAGATTGAATGTGGAAACTGGTGCTCCACAGACTGCCTTGATCAGTTTAATAATTTCATATATGATATATAAATATTATTGTATATTAGAGTAAGATTAGTTCATTGAGGAGTTCTCTTTTCGAAGGATTCATTTTCAAAGTTGTACAATCGCATATACTTATTTTTCTGGATGATAATTATAATAAACTTCTGTTAATCATGGTAACCGTAAGGTACAATAAACAAAGGTATTGCAAAACGTTTTTCGTCAAGGAGACTAATAACAGTTTTATTGTTAAGGGCTTAAATATTCATTATAATATATATATGCGATTGAAATACGCTCAGTTATCGTCAATTTTGTTGTCGTTCACTACAATACTAGTTAATTTATTGTAACATAAAGACACGGTTTATAAACAACACAAACCTTTACATGTTTTGAGTAGTATTTTAATATTAAGAATAAAATGTTTGAAATACATAGTGATATCTTGCCTAAAATATACTAGGTGGGTAATTGTTTTGGAAACAGTTAATTGAAGCATTTAGAAAATACAGGCTAATAAATAAACTAAGTAAATAATAACTTATAGTTGCTTACTTTATTGCTTTCTCTTGAGCTTCCATATCTGGTGACGGAATCCATACACATACAGACGGTACTAATGCTTCAACTTTCCCGTCTATACTTCTAATATGCCAATGAAGCTTTGACGATGATTGTCCCAATGGACTGACATTTTCTGTAAAAGTACTACTCGTTTGATCACTACTTGTGATATCAGAACCACTAGTTTGACCACGACCGAAATTCCAATAAGGCATTGTTGTAATTCTAGGTTTTGGATATCGTAAATAAGAGTTGCTGTCAGTTGAACGATCGTCTATTTCTTCAGTTCTTGAATGACTGTCACTATCTGTTTCACAAATATCCAATGTATCAGAAGTCATATTATGTGATGCTTCTGAATTTATATCTTCTTCTTGATTAGTACCTGTTCTTAGTAGGAATTTCTGTTTATTTTCTACACCACCAGCCATATTGTCAATTATAACAATTCGCTCACCGGTGGTTAGTTTAAATTTAGGTGTTTCATAATCGCATAACATTACACCATTCACAGGGGATTTAATACGATTAGTTCGTAGATAAATAGGTACAAGTGATTTAGATTGTTCAATTAATTGTTTTGAACGATTAACCACATAGTTTAAATGATCGAATTGGCTCTGTAAACAGATAATATTTTCCAATAAATAATGATTTGAATATGAGTTATTAAATTAAAGACAATTCTCATCATAATAATTAATTTCCTAGAGCACTCTTACCACAATTTTTTGTCTAATAACGAATAATCAAGTATTTTCATCAAGATTCTGATGATAAATATATTGGCTGTTTAATCAGAATATATATATATATATATATATATATATATATATATATATATATATATATATATATATAAGCAAGTGGCTATCAGGACTCAGTAGTTAAGTGGATAACGCGAGTGCGTTTGAAGTTAATGGTACTTGGTTTGAGTCCCGAAATGAACGTCAATTCTAGGATGCAGGTACATCCAGATGACGAGTCCTAAATGGGATGAACGCACACACTAGATTCCATTGCAAGCCACTATCCCTCATTAGCTTATAATGCTTGTGAATTAAGATACTATCGAGGCAATATGCATAGTATGCACATATGCCAACATGTGACTGATCAATGTCAGTCCTACACACGTCCTACACGTAAACAACATTATGTGAATTTAAAACAAATAAAATATTTGAAAATCAAAAAATATAAAACAACCAAGTTAAAATCTTTTCAAAATTCTATTAACATATTTAACTGATTTGTATGTCTAATATGAAAATATTTGAAAAGAAACTGAAAATGCACTGACTCCTTTTGAACTCCAAACAATTACTGAACACTATAAATTTCATTGAAACAAAATTAAACTAATAATAACCAAGTGATTATAATATAATAGGTACTCTAATATATATCAGGTGATATCAGACAATACAACATTCTACTTGCTTTATGACAAGCAAATGAATGAATTAAAAATTGACAAAGAAATGAGGTCAAATAAATCCATTTCTACTTTTTTTTCTTTCATCTTCCAATTATAGTCTCCACCGAAATATTCATTGAAGATTTATATCGCTTTATATATTCATCATAATTAATTATTGTAATTAGTGCTTATACAGTAATGTCGAACTGTAAACGTTGACGTATCATTTTGTCAATAAACATTTTTGAATATATATACAATAAATATTAGTTATTTAAATTGATGTAACATCATGTGCCTACTGACACTATATTTAAGTAGTATGTTATTTTAATCATAAAAAATGTTGCAAATTTTTATCTTTAGGGTACGCATGATTGTTAGATTAATGGCTAATTATACTATTTGATTACAGTGAAGATACGTATGATCAAACTTGTAATTTTGT